TCTTTGCTCTCTTTATTTATTGCAGGCAGTAATCCTAGTTTGCTCAGTGTCTCTTCCTCAGACCACTCCTATTCATAGGGGGTGAGGTTACAGAGATGCGGAAACCACTAAGCTATTTTTACCACCAAGCAATACGTGAGTTATTTAACTCTAGATAATAATAGAGTTAGTGAGTACTTAACTCTAGTTTTGACATAAGGTTTAAAAATACAGTTACAGATTCTTGCTTTGGAACCATTCCTACAGACAAGACTTGGTTGTACGTCTGCTGTGTCAGGTATAGAAGGAAGATTGGACAGAAGGAAGGGAGGAGAGAGGAAGAAGGAAAGGAGAAAGAAAGGAGGGGGAACGAGGAAAATCTGTTATTTGTCACATAAATAGTCTATTCCAGACCCTTATTCCCAGGTCAACCAGGGCACAGAAGAACAACCAGTGGAAATGCCTAGCCAGTCCTCCCATGCCAGGACCCATCAGGCCTCTAACTATGTCAACGTTTTGCTTGATCATCCCCCCCTGTTAAGTCTAACATACCGAGTCTAAGGCATTATCAAAAAGAAGTGCACAGTATTTTCCTGCACCCCATCAGGAAGTTTTTATTTTTTCCTGCAGTACTATTGAGAGCAGGTCACACACACACACACACACACACACACACACACACACACACACACTGCTAAAGATCATTTAGCACCACTATTTTAAGATAAGCATGCTGGAGCAAGTTACTTCATCTAGTTTATTCCGGGGTGGCATATCCACTCCCCAATGGATTTCACACATTTCTTGTGCGCTCCCTTCAGCAATGAGTTCACCGAGTTCTGAAGGGTCCCGTGGTGTCTTGATCGGCCAGACAACTTCACAACAGGTATCCTGCCAACACTTCATTGGCTACAGTTACCTCCCTGGTGGCGTTCACCCTCTCCAACCACTAAATTCAGCTTGCTTTTTTCAGTTGTGTCCCAACCACAGGCAGGCTACATAACCGTCTTCCAATGACTATTGTGTTAAATCGCTGCTTCCCACCCGCTGTTGCAGTAACATTTCCTGCTGCCATCTGTCCGTGTTTACCCTGAGTTTCATACTGCCAAGAGAGCACATCTGATGTGCAGCATGTGGGAAGTCAAAGGTGACAGAGCTCAATGCCCAGGGCCACAACGAACATGGTGGGGCTGGCACCGGGGCAGCCAGGCAATGCCCGCGTGCTCCTTGCCACCCACACAGACAGCAGCAGGATCACAGGGGTGCTGAGGAGCACTTAGCTACGCCACTGACACTGAGCTGGCATGTAATTGACCATTTTAATCGACCATTTTAAAAACTAACTGCACAAGATATCTTGGTGGCACGCACCTTTAACCCCAGTACCCAGGAGGCTAAGACCAGAGGATCTCTACGAGTTGAAGCCTCGTCTCTATTGTAAGTTCTAGGCCAGCCAATGCTACATAGTGAGATCTTGTCTCCAAATTAATTAATAACGAATTCATTAAAATAAAACTAACTGCAAAGGAAAGTTTTGTTTATAAGGCCATTCCTCCATCTATAGACTTACTGAAGTCTGCAAGCCATGCTCTACCTTTTGATTGTTTTGCCACACTGGGTGTTTAAGGCCTTCTCAATGATATTTACATTAAGCTCTGATATTTTAGATATAAATAATTATTATTTCCAAAAAGTCGTACGTTTTAAAGAATAAATTTGTTATTAAAGATTGATTGCCTAGATCCCTGAAGGAAGCATCAGATCACCAGTCTAACTTTCTGAAAATTAGCAAGTGATGATTCTAAATGAAGCTATGAAATCTCAGGGCTTTGTCTATTTTTATGTAGGTGTACACATATGTATCATGTATCGTACCTGCCTGTGTGCTTATGACTGTATATTGTTTACATAGTTCCAAATTAGCTTATAGATAAATCCGCACTCAGTAATTAAAGTGTACAATCAGACCAAATGCCTTTAATTCACACGACTTAAGTATATATATATATGTGTGTGTGTGTATGTATATATATATATATATAAAATTTTCTACTTTATTTGTATTTTTATATTTTATATACCTTTTTATTTTTGTTTTTGTTTCTGAGACAGGATCTTTCTAGGTGTCACTGGCTGTTCCTGGAACTCCCTGTATGGAGCAGGCTGGCCTTGAATTTGGAGAGTCTCCTGCCTAGGATCCAGACCCTTATTTCCAGGTCTACCAGGGCAGAGAAGAACAACCAGTGGAAATGCCTGGCCAGTCCCTCCCATGCCAGGACCCATCAGGCCTCTAACTATGTCAACGTTTTGCCTGATCATTCCCCTGGTTAAGTCTAACATACCGATATGACAAGGAGCACCCTTGGGCATAGTTTTAAAAAATATGCTAAGTTAAATTTGTTAGTGAGAGGAAAGTAAAGAATTTTTTCAAATTGATAACTAGGGAGACAATTCAAAAGTTAGTTAGATGTGATTCCTGCTCTTGCGGAGGACCTGAGTTTGGTTCCCAACACTCACTTCTGGCAGCTTGCAGTGGCCTGTAACTTTAGGCGATTGCGTACCCTGTTCTGGCCTCTATGGGCACCTGCATGCTACTAGTCCATGTTCCCAGCCCCCAGCCCTCTCACACTGTCAGATTAAAGTCAAAGGGATAACCATGGTGAAAAATACCTTAGGGAGCTTAGGAGAAGCTTCAGAAAACAAACAAAACAAAACAAAAACCAGCAGATGACCTCAGATGCATTTTCTTCCCTAGATTCTTGTGTTCCTGGGTATGATTTCATGCCTCCTGTGACAAACTTTTACATTCAAAGTATAAGACACATTCACTCTTGTTGGATGTCAGATCATAGCTATAGAACCCAGTCTGGTCAGTGGACTCTGAATCTGGGCATGTCCTTCTGCCTTGCTCTCCTGCTTTCTCAGTTATAGTCTATAACACGTGCCAGGCAACTGTGTTTGAATTGGTCTGTCCTGAGACAGTTCTGGGAAAGATCTACTCTGCTAACATTGACTATATGCTTTCTGGCACTTGTTTACATGTTTTTCTGAACTCAACCTTCTTTTGATTATTGTTTTGTTTTCTTTGTCTCATTCCTGTATAAAAGCACACTGAAGCTGGAGTAAGGCTGTCTACAGATTTAGACTGTGGTCTGCCCCATTTTGGGGGGTTCTCAGGTCCCAGGTCTCACTGACACCGGCCAGCACAGGTTGGCAAAAGTCAACACCACACCTCTAATTTGTCTCATTGATGACAACGATCTTGCCTAGGTTAGCTGTCAATCCGAATCCTATTTATCTCTTCCATGCTTAACGTGGAAACAGTCAGTGTTCTCTGCTTCAAGTACAGCAAATTCTGAGGGCTTCTCTGGGCAAGAAAATAAAGTCTTGACTGTATGTGCTGGTCATTTTGGGAGGCTTAGAAGTAAGTGTAAAGAGTAGATAAATTAAGTAAATTTAATTTAATTAAGCATCTCCTATGGTAGAGCTAGTTGCTGATATACGGCAAACAATTCAAAATTGCTTTCTGCTCCAGAGGTCACTATAAATTGTAGTTGCTAAGATCTTCATTAACATGTACAATCTCATACGTAAAGAATACAAGCACGTTTAAGTATGGTTTTAATGAGGAAAATACAGAACAGAAAACGGGTCATTTTGTTTTATTTTAAAGAGAGTGATTTGTCTAAATTGAAGATTTTATCCAACATTGTTACACAGCGTAAAGGACAGCCTCACAGGTAGGCAGGAGCGAAGCATACACCTCTGTCCTGTTCTTTTTCACCACTTTACTTTAGTACAAACTCTTGCATGTCCCATGGACCTCATGCATGCTGTCTTAGTTTGCTCCGTTGCTGTGCTAAGTACTGTAACCAAGAGCAGCCTGGCAGTAGAGATGTTTATTTCAGCTTACAGTTGTAGTACATCATTCAGGGAGGTCAGGGCAGGGGTAGGAACCTGGAGGCGGGAATTGATGCAGAAGCCATGGGGGAGTGCTGCTCATTGGCTTGCTCCTTGTGGCTTGCTCAGCTTGGTTTCTTATGGGACCCAGGACCACCTGCCTGCGTGTGACACCACCCATAGTGGGGCGGGCGCCCCCACATCCATCATTAATGAAGAAAAAGCACCACAGCCTTGCTCACAGGCCAATCTGATAGAGTTGTTTTCTCAGCTAGTGTTCCCTCTTCCCAAGCAATCTTGTCTTGTTTCAAGTTACCAAAATAATAGTAATAACAATAATAATAACCAACCCAATTTGTTTTCTGAAAGGCCTGGTAGCACACATTCATAATCCCAGCACTCAGAAGGCACAAGTAGAAAGTTTGAGAGTTCAACGCCAGCCTGAGACACTGTACATAAATTTTTTTTAAAATAATAAGAATTGTAAAAAAAAAAAAAAAATTAAAAGAAGCAAGTTAGTGATAGAGAATAAATTTTTGCTAAGAGAATTAAAAAGAGGAGATAAAGGTTTCTTTTTTGTGGGGTGGTAAGTGCTGAACTAAGGGCTTTTCGCACACTAGGCAAGTACTCTGCCGGCCTTCTTTTTTACAGTTGATTTTGAGAAAGGAGCTCAGAAAGTTGCCCAAGCTTTCCTGGAGCTAGTGATCTCCTTGTCACAGCCTCCTGAATCTGGAAGGAAAGGACTGCACCACCAATGCCAGCTAGAGAAAGAAAATTTCTGTGTGACTTCCATACGATAGAACAAGATTTTATCCTCACATAAAATTACTGACATGGATGAGGGTAGGGGCTACAGCTGGGATACAGAGTGAATAAATAGTAATAAATAAATAAATAAATAAATAAATAAATAAATAAATAAATAAATAAATAAATATTATATTAAAATAAATTTTAAAAAATTACTGAAATGGGTTAGGACAGAACTATAAGATGGGGCAAATGGAAGGAAGGGCTCTAAAGGATTGAATTACACGGTTCTGAGGAGCTACTTTGCGTCTCAGGGTGCTCCTGGTTTCTGCAGAAGACTTCCAAACACTGCTGCGGATTCTGATACTCACCTTTCACGGCTGGTGGAGATGCTCCTTCAGGCTGTTAACAGCAGAAAGGTGGCTGAAGAGGATTTAAAAAAAAAAATGAGAAAGTAAGTAGTCTTGCTGAAAGTCACCCTACAGTCTCTTAAGGGAACTTAGAAGGTAGAAGCTGCTTCAGGCATGACTTCCTGGATTCATCGTACCATAAAAAGAGGGCACAAAACCCTGAAGTGTGTGTGTTAAAGTAGAAAGGGGATCGTGAGAGGGAAGGAAGAGATCTCAAGGGAGGAAGGAAGTGAGGGAACCATAAGTTCAACTTTGCTCTTAGCTTCTTAAATTGTACAAAAAGTACAACATCTATTGGAGTGTATTGAGAAACACATGATCGGAAAGCAGAAGAAAGACTCTGGGGAAATAGGGGGGTAACCATCTGGAGGAAGAGATGGGTCCCAGGCCACAGACAGTGTGCCAAGAAAACAAATGAGAACAAACTACACGTATGAAAATGCCAGAAGTAAACCCATTGCTTTGCATGTCAAATTTACTCATTTTTTTTAAAAAATAGACTCAAGTGAATCTAACAATGTCTAGCGCTGTAAACAGGGATCACAACTCACATGAAAGCAAAAGAATAATAAGAAGCAGTTCCAAGCAGCCTATTCTGTGTTTTAATCTCCTGGCTGATTCTGTTCTTTGTAGTTAGAGACTAAAATTACATATGTATCAGATTGCACCAGAAGACACAAAAGTAAATTCCCTTTTTGTTGTATCCTCTCAGTTGACCTGTTTGCCTAACTATGTTTTGGATTGAATTTCTCCCGGACATTCAGTATATAATTTCAGGGTTACTTAAATTGGGAATGTCAATTTTCTAATTTTATTCAGGACTAACATCAAATTTTGATGACCTTTAAACTACTGTACAATTATAAAAGGAACTCAGGCTATGAAATCAGCTGTGATCTTAAGACTAATCTCACTTTAGCAGCAGGGGAGTGTTACTCAAAGGAGGACCACACAGTCGTTCATCCACTCTAAAGTAGTCCTGGGAGACTAATCTCCATTCCCTTCGACTCTTAAGAATGAAGAGTAGGACCTGGAGAGATGGCTTAATGGTTAAGAAAGCTTACTGCATAACCATAAGGGCTGGAGTTCACACCCCAGAACTCACAAAACAAGCTGGACATCCCAGGTTTGCCAGTTAATGCCAGCTCTGAGTGGGGGCAGAGACAGGATGGTTGCCAGGACTTGCTGGCTTCCAGCTTCGCCAAGAAGACAGGAGCCCTAGATTCAAAGAGAGACCCTGCCTCAAACGAATAGGCTGAAGACACAGAGGAAGATACCTGATGCTCTCTTCTGGCCTTTGAGAGTATATATACCTGCACACCCACACAGACACATACATATGTACGTATGTACATACATACACACATATGTAATAAATAAGTAAGTAAATAAATAAATAAAGCTTCACAGCTTCTTTATTTCTCTCTGCTCTCCCCAGTCATCCTGTCTGTCCACCTCATTCTCCACAGACTATCTATTTGACTCCTGAATCCACTTTTTTCAGGTAAGCCTGAGCCCCATTTCCCTAAGCAAACCACATGGTTTAAAATAGTATTGAAATCTTCTCTTACCTTTCTGTCTTAGAGCTAGCCATAAAGACATTTGTTGACTTTCCTTGCCTGAGAGTAGATTCTAAGACCTATATTTCACAAGGGATACTGTGCTAAAGTCGGAAGAAAGAAACATAACAGACAGAACAAAAAGAATCAGAGCAGACAGTCTTGCTGAGTTTTCTAACTCAGGTTATTATCTAATTAGATCATATCATTTTTGCTCCAACATATTGGACAACGGCTATCCATGCTTCAATTGCACTTATGCCAGGAAGTCTCCATGAAAGTCCCAATCATTTCTTCCAGCTGATTTTATTTTCTATTATATTGTTTATGCATTTGTATGTGTGTATGTGTGAAAATACATGTCACAACACACATGTGGAGTTCAGAGGACAACTTTCAGAGTCAGCTCTCTACTATGTGGATCAAACTGAGGTCACCAGGCACAAAACACCTTTACCTACTGAGCTGTGTTACCTTCCCCATTCAGTTCAATATAATCTACAGCCTTGCTCCTAATGACATCTAGTCTTCATTCATTCCTTCAAAGTACAACCCATACACCTGAAATAGTCTCTGATCCCTTTGCACATACTTATCTTCCTTACCTCCCAGCCCCAAGCCAATCATCATCAAGGAAGATGTTCCAGAGAAGACTACTACAGCTTTGACACTCTCACTGCACCATGGCCTTTTCTTTAGTGTGAATACACCAAAAATCACATTTCATTTTTAACTCTGATGTTTATTTCCTAGAAAACTGTCGGCCATATGTATGCATGAGTCTTTATGACCCCTCTGTAGCCTGACTCACAGAAGGATTTTTAATAAACAGTCGAAAGAATTGGTGAGCACTGCAACTAATAACCCACACAGGTGATTCCCACAGAACCTTTTCAGGAACCTGTGACTTCAACCTGATAGCACACTTGGGCTAGTTTCACAACAGCTGCAGGCTTCTTTGAAAAACTAAAACTTAGCAAAACGTTACGTTTGACATGAGTTTGTTATTCAAGAGTATGACAGAAGGTACCGTAAATACTGGCTAGGGCATTTAAAGGATTATTTATATTGTGTTTGATATTCCCCAACAGAAAGAAAAGGCAGGTGACAAACTATTCTGACAGATCTTATCCTGAGAAGCATTCAGCATTTTACTGGCAGGTGTTTTAAGACTGATTGCATTCTGTTGTTGACTCGAGAACAGGAGTCTCATCATGCCAAGGACCCCTGACCCTCCTGTCTTTTTCTGAGTTCTTTGGATCCATTTACCTCCTAGGCCAGAACATCTTCAGGTCCAGACATTGAGTTCTTTAAGCCCTGGAGCCCTTGTTGCTCAGTATCTCTCTAGACTGTGACACTTAGAATGCTCCTGAGCAAGGCAGGAAGTATTAATACACTCACAGAAGGAAATGTCTGGAGCCATAAAGATCAGCTGGCAGCTGAATATAAATAAGAGAAGTGCCCGGACTGGTAAGAGTGGACAGTAGAGAGCATGTGGATTGAGAGAGCAGGCTCTGGAAGGCAAGAGTACAAGCAAGATGTGGACAAAAGCAGATTCTCCACACAAGTACCTCAGCCGCCTACCCGCTGTCACTAAGGTAAACACTGCTATATCTCCAAAAATTATTTTAGTTTCATAAACTCTGCCACCAAGAACTCTTGGTTCTTCCACGTAGTCACAGAACACTAAAGACAAACTACTAAGAGTGTAAACCCTTAAACTTGATGTGGTCATATGCTCCTGTAGTCCCAGAAATTTGGAAGTGAAAGCAGGAGGATCAGGAGGAGTTCAAGCTAATCCTTGGTTATGGGGGCAGAGGGAGAGGGGATGTTGAGGCCTGCTTAGGACATGACGATCCCATGGAAAGCATACCTTTACTCCCTTCTGAGTAGAGAAAGGGCCACAGCAACAGGCCCAGATCTTCTTTTAAATGATGTTCATAACCAGCAGGGATGCAGCCTAAAATTTCAGTTTGCTTCATTAAAATTTTGGTTTGATTTCCATGTGGCCAGGGAGTCTTTTCAGAAGCAATTACCCAAGTTCAGCGGGGAAGTCAAAGTTCCTCCGGAGACACAGATGTTGAGCAGGCTGATATGGTTGTTGTTTATCTCTGTGTGTCTGTCATTTATACTGCTCCTCCCCCAGGTCCACCCATTAGACACAAGCAAGGGGGTTAGAAACATTAGATAAACCAAATTCTATGCCCGCTCTAGGGCTAGAGTGTGTGCGTGCATGCATGGGAGTATGCGTGTGTGCGTGTGAGTGTGTGTGTGCGTGTGGGCGGATTAGATACATAGATGTGGTCTAACCGAAGAAAACACTAAGGGGAACTTAACCCACCTTCTGATTGCTGTACTCATCCAGAAGTGAGTTGGTCTACTGTAAACCCCTGTGAGTTTATCAGGAAAAGCATGAATGCTTGCATAATAAAGTAAGAGAAAGTATCTGTGTGTCTGGGGCATGGCATTTAGTTCTAGGCTGGATGGTTTCTGGTACTCTGTTGCTCTTATCAATGCACATCTGTCTTGCTAGTCCCAAGGGCTTAGCATCCAAGCCTGGGATCTCAAGAGACTGCTAGCTCAGTTTACTTCCTTCATTTGACAAATATCCTTGTTTTGGCTCTTGGAAGGGTGTCTTTTATGATTATTTCTACAAGTACAATAATGTCGTATCTTGCCTCTCATTCTAACGTGAAAGAACTCAGCTCGGGTGCTCTCGTTAAAATCAACTAGCCAAGCGTGGTGGCTCATGCTTATGGTCCTAGCACTCTGGAGGCTGAGACAGAACTGCCATGTGTTTGAAGCCAACCCAGACTACATTGTGAGTTCAAGGCCAGCCTGTGCCATAGAGTAAAATGTTGACTCAATAAATAAATAAATAAATGCTAAAACAGAACAACTGCCCATAGTAAAACCTTGTCTCGATTGATTGATTGATTGATTGATTGATTGATGCCAAAACAGAACAAGGACCAGGGAGATGGATCAGTGAGTAGAAGCACTTGCCTGCAAGACAGACTGAGTCCAGATCCCAGGACCCATATCATTCCATAGCCCAGCACATTGGCCCTGAATCTCTTGGGTCACCCAAGCCTGGAGCATGATGAGGGGAAACAACAGAAATAATGAAGGATGGTGTCTTGACAGGGAAGGTTAAGAACCAGCTCCCCAGAATTGCCCTCTGACCTTCACATGTACTCCCTGGCACAGAATCTCACCCAATCCCCAGCACACATAAGAAAAACAAAAACAAGCAAACAAACAAACATGGTCATAGTGCACCAAGTCTGTGATCCTAGCACTCTGTGAGATAGAGACAGAGGCAGGCAGGTCTCTGTGAGTTTGAGGCCAGCCTGGTCTACAGAGTGAATCCAGGACAGCCTAGGCTACACAGAGAAACCCTGTCTCAAACAAACAAACAAACAAACAAACAAACAAACAAACAAAAAAGACT